TAAGTGTGTGTGTGTGTTTGAGAGAGAGAGAGAGAGAGAGAGAGAGAGAGAGAGAGAGAGAGAGAGAGAGAGAGAGAGATTACTTCACCGTCTGCCTGTGCCGATGGATTGCATCGGTTGGGGTCATTGCACATTCTTTCATTTTTTGGCTTGTGCGTGCGTGCGTTCATGCGTACGCGTCGATGTGCCTCCCTGCCTGCCTGCCTGCCTGCGTGCGTTTGTTAGTGCACGAGTGTTTTTGCTTGCCGAATACGCACCTAGCTCTTTAATACTGCAATCTTTCTTGCGATACGATTTTGCGAAAAAGGGGGGGAGAAAACGAAACGGAACGTGGAACGAAACGAAACGAAACATAGCATCACTTCCGAACCGTTATGTGAGCATTGCGCAATCGGAAGGACCTCCGCCGCGTGTCCCAGCGTCTTGAATCGAACGAGGAGAGGCGGTGAGGCGAGGCGAGGGGAGGAATTTAAGGGGAAGAAGAGGGAAGAGGAGTGGAGTGGAGGGGATAGGAATAGAGAGGAGTGGAGAGGATAGGATAGGAGAGGAGAGGAGAGGAGAGGAAAGACGGTAAGACGAGACGAGGAGAGGCGAGGAGAGGCGAGGCGAAGCGGCGGCGTCGGAGTGGGAGCGGCCCAGCTGGGGGGTTGATAACCTCTGGGAGAATAGTGTACTGCCTTCCGTATGACGCCGCCCGGGCCTCGCGCTGGGCCCTCCTCCTCCTCCTCCTCCTCCTCCTCCTCCTCCTCCTGCTCCGCCTCCTCCTCCTCCTCCTCTTCCTTTTCCTCCTCTTCCTCCTCCTCTTCCTTTTCCTTTTCCTCCTCTTACTCTTCCTTTTCCTCCTCTTCCTCTTCCTCCTCCTCCTTCCTCTCCTCTTATTCGTATTCTGGTTCTTGCTCTTGTTCATCTTTCGCTTCTTATTCTTCCTCCGCTTCTCCTTTTTCTTCTTCCTCCTCCTTTGCTTCTCCTTATTCCTCCGCCTCCTCTTTCTCCGCTTATTCTTTCTCCTCTGCTTCTCCTTATTCTTTCTCTTCCTCATCGTCATCCTCCTCCGCTTCTTATTCTTCCTCCTTTTGTGCTTCCATTTATTCTCCTCTTCTTTCCTCCTCTTCCAGTTTTTTAATTCTCGTTCTTCTCCTCTCCACCTGTTATGCCTCGTCCCCTTTCTCTTACTCTCTCTCTCTCTTCCTCCTCCCTCTCACCTTTTATCACCTTTTCATCCTCCCCTTCTTTATTTCCTCACCCCCCCTTTCACCTCTTCCACGGTCTTGGCTGTTGCAAGTCGATTGCAGGTATTGCAGATCTGACAAGCATCTTTTCGGGGGAGGAAGAAGAGGAGGAGGGGGAGGAGGAGGAGGGGGGAGGGAAGGAGGAGGGGGGAGGGAAGGAGGAGGAGGGGGGAGGGAAGGAGGAGGAGGGGGAAAGGAAGGAAAAGGAGGAGGAGGAGGAGAAGAAGGAGGAGGAGAAGAGGAAAAAAAGAAATGAAAAGAATAGACAGAGGAAGCAAAGAAGAAACAGTAAAGGAGTAAAAGAGAGAGAGAGAGAGAGAGAGAGAGAGAGAGAGAGAGAGAGAGGGAGAGAGAGAAGAGGAGGTGACGGGGAGAGAGAGAGAGAGAGAGAGAGAGAGAGAGAGAGAGAGAGAGAGAGAGAGAGAGAAGAGGAGGTGACGGAGAGAGAGAGAGAGAGCGAGAGCGAGAGCGAGACGAGGAGGCAGAGGAAGCGGAGGAAGAGGGAGAGGAAGCAAGCAGCGACCAGGTGGACTAACTCATTACCCGCCGCCCTGCTTCCGAGATGGGACGGAGCACGTGGGGTATGAAGGGTGCAGGTGGGCACCGTGCCCCGCCCAAACTCTCACGCCCACAAGCCCTGTCGTGTTGGGTCGGTTTTGACGGGTGGTTCGGGTGTATGTTAATAACTGTATTGAGTAAGCTTATATTACCCTGTATGCCTACGTGTCCAGTAAGGGGGGAGGGGGGAGGGGGGAGGGTTTGTCGGGTTTCTCCCTCGTATAAATTAACCGAAGTCAGCGTTTTGTTAGTCGGTTGTTGGATATTCCGGATATTTGTCATGAATAAGCAAGTCGTGCCGTGATGTTTCGTCGATTTAAGTCGGAGTCTGGTCGGGATGTGTTGGGGGGGCTAAGGTGTTTGTTTGTTTGTTTGTTTACCCAACGCGTTTCGTCGTATGGGATGCGGTCGGGTGTCGGGAGATGCAACTTGAATATTTTAAGACTTGGAAGACCGAAGAGGGAGGAGCGTAATAGAAAGGAGGATCCGTCACGCAGGCTGGCATTTTAAGCCGATGCTGAGATTATTTTGAAATTCGGGCACTTCTTGCTACTCTGGCTGATAAGGGCTGATTAGATAGAGAGAGAGAGAGAGAGAGGGAGGGAGGCAGTGAGTTTTACTTTTTTCTCCCCCTCTCTTTTTGTTAACGATCTTTATCCTACACTCTCAGTGATTAGTATAATTCATAATGCTGAAGTTATGATGATTATAAC